CCCCCCCCCGCCCAACCAAAAAAGAAACAAAATAAAAAGAGGAAATAACTGAATGAATAAAATTGCTGTTCCAATACAAAATGCAAAAAAGTTGAAGACATTCACACAAAAAATCTGAATTTATCAAACTTCCAATTTCGAAATAAGCTATGGTAAAATTTGATTTTTTATTTGATTTTAATCTTATTAGTAAAATAAAATTGATTCAGACGATTTGAAAAAGATGCAGTTCTTGAAGATTCCCATCTTGAAAAATTGTCAGGGTGTTCAAGAATAGCAATGTAATCTCACCTGTAAGGCTGCCATATCCTTCTTGATGAATCTTCTGAATTTTTTACTGGTTTAAGTGCAGCATCCTGTAAACAATGGATCCACCTAGCAGCTTCCTCTGAACTGGTAGCCCCCAACTAAAAAATTTGAACTATAGGGTCATCCACTAGTTGCTGTATTATCAGCTTTAAATCAAGAATGAAAAAATGAATACCTTCAGCTGATCATTATGATTAGAACTATTATACAATGTGAAAATGAAAAACACCTGCAATTTACAAGAAAATTCATCTATAAGTATAAAAGTAAAGTAGGTTTCACTTAATCTATCGTTGATGAAACATAAGCTTATTCTAAATCCCACTTTTCTACGATGGCTCTCTCTTCCATTATCCGTAACTCGAATGCAGGAGTCTATTATTGCACTTCTCACAGGCTCCTGACACAAGAAAGAGTAAATTAATAACACATCAAATAAGGTCAGGATCCAAATGATGCATCATTTATGTAGTCATCACGTGTGTATCTTGGAAAGAATTAGCAAGACAGCACAACATTTATCCTCGTGTCTGCTACTTTAACAACAAATTTTAGAAAAATAAAAAACATTTACCAAAAACTTTATTTATCCAAATATATTCAATTTATATCAACACATACATATACATAATACATACATGCACACACATATACACACGATATTACGCAGATATTGTATGTATGTGCTTAAATCATGATAATTTCATATTTCAGAAAAGAAGAAGTACCTCTGTTTCGGTAGAAGGGATTGATCTAAAGCTCTTGAGGCAGTTGTCTTCAAGAATAAAGTACCTTTTACGTGAATAATGTAGCCCAAAGCGGTTGAAACGAATCAGATAAAGCCATCCCTCCATTTTCCTTTCATTTTCTGCCATTTCAATGTCCCAAGATTCCCAAAAAGGAGAAAAAAAAATCCCACCTTTTTGTGATATTCTCCTTTAATTCAAAAATCCATTTCAAGAAAGCTACAAATTCCTTTTAATCAAGTATCTACAAAAATAAACAAATCAGTAATTCATAATCATGTGAATATGCGGGACGTATACGTATACGTATATGTTTGTTTATATATAGAAATGAAGAGAATTTTGGGAGGGTGAGTAAGATGATGTATGATCCTCAGATTCCAGCAGAAGAATCAGAGAATCAAATGCAAAATGCCAGTTTTTTCTTGGCAAATTGCATATGCCTCTCTCTCTCTGTTTTCTTCGTGCTGTTCTCTCGCTTGAATACAACTGGTTCCGGTGTTTGCAGGAAGTTGGCAACCATTGTTCTTTTACTAGAATGCCCTTTTTAGTTTTATTTATTTTTTTAGACCCTTGGCTCAACTTTTGGGGGTTCTTTCTTTATTTTTGACCCTTGGTACCAAATTTGATTTTTAGGGTTTTGAAAATGATTTGACTCATTCATTCATTGGTTTGCCCCAATTTTTTATTTTGTCACAAAGATAAAGGTTAAAGAAAAGTGAATGTGTTACTTGTGTTTTAACTTTAAATAGTTTTGACTTCAAATAATTGGTACGTACACCCTGATAAAATATAAATAGTTAGAGGCAAGAGAAATTAGATAAAGTATCTCGATTTTGGCCTTCTTGTTTTAGTTATGATAGTAATGAAACTATACATATCTTGTTGACATTGTAAAACATTATTCAAATTCTACTTATTTGATAGTATTTATCTTACTGGATAATATTTGATACCTAGTATTGAATATAATAAAATAATTCGACAGTAAATACTTTTTTTAAAAAAATTTAATAATATTATACAATAGGAAAATGTTATGTATATACCTTATGGTGTACACAAATGCATTACACCCTCTCACATGCAGGGAGCCCACGAATATTTTATTATATGTGGGCTTCCTCCATGTGAGGGGGGTGTAATGTTTTGTGTACATAGCATTTCCCTATCCAATATTGCATAATCTACAGTAAACTATTATATTATGCGTGCATTGAGTAATTCTTACACTAAATTGGTTTGAAAGGCAAGGATGTCTAAATTGTTTTATAAGCCGATGTAGTTAAGACTTTCATTTAGTTGAAGTCGTTATAGCCTATTCCTCTTATCATAATTGATGTCTATGTTGGTTTATGTTCAAATAATAAGTTTCCGTTGGAAGTACTCTCTTGGTTATTTTATACACAACGAGGCCATTCCAGAGGTGAACATATTCGAATATCAAATTTATAAATATGTTGAATATTACTCATCTTTGAAATCTGCTTGAAAAAAATGGTTATAAAAATATTTGTAAGTTTTTAAACTTAATATTGTGAAACTTAACAAGTGAAATTACTTTTTGTTGATTCGACACTCATCTTCGAAAAATGTCAATAAAGAAAGTATAAAATACCAATTGTTCCTTCTTTTTGTACTTACATAGAACTTGATTTATATTAGGTGGAAGGATAGTTTGGGAAAATACACAAGTGTTCAAGAATTTTTGCTTGCTTTGTAGAATGATTTTGTACTTATAATAAAGAAATGTTACTTGTTGAGTTGTATAAAATATAAGTTATCTTTGCTGACAACATTTGTCTTGTTCAACTCATCTTGTTTAATTAAAAAATAAGGTTTTTGGACTGCGAAGGATTCCAAGTGGATGGTATATATCTTTTGCCTTCTCATTACCTCCCAAGAGGTGTAAAACAAGTTGCTTGTTCAAGAATAAGTAGATTATTGAACACTATAATTTTATTTCATATAATTCAATTGTTTATGTTAATGACAAATGTAAATACAAGGTGATAATTAATTATTTATATTTGATGCTAGATGGCACCAAATAATACGACGTAATTACCTACTCTCCCCTCCCTAGATTCTATCCACCCCAGAAATCGAGGTGAATTTGGGTGATACTTCACCAATTCAAGTATTGAACGCTCGAATGTGTGGACTAGAATGTCTAAGTGACTTTATGTGGATTTTATTTAAATCGATAGAGTTTAATTTTTTTGTTGATCAATTCTAGCCATGCTCTTTTACTATACATATATTGAATATTCACCTTATTTTGTTTTTATTAAGAGCATGTATACCTTAGCTTATAAGTAAGGTGGGAATCAGCGTGGTTCTATGTTGGTATAAATGAAAATGATATTAAATTGTTGAGAAATTGAACTGCTCTTTCTAATATATTAAGTTTTGAAGGTGAAACTCCAACTTCATATAAATTATATGATAGCCATATCTTACACATAGTTGTGTGAACGTATGAGATGAATATCTCAATGAAAGTGTATATCCAAAGTTAATGGTGAGAGCCAAAAAAATAAAATAAAATCATGATTAGCTCTCAAAGTGATAGTATCCATGGTGAGGTGGTTGTCCATAACTACAATAGAAGAGTTGAATGACTAAGCTATTACTTTGGAGATAGACTTGATGTATTACTTCGTTTGATAAGAGATTCTTGTGAAAGTAAAACATAAGTTTTAAGTTGACTAAACATGAAAATAGTCTTGAGTTTATGAGCGTTAAGCAAATTGAACGACCATTTCTCCTAAGAATATCTTTAAGAGACTCTTTAAATCTGAGATGTTCTCTATTTTATAGAATCAATCATTAAAATCATGCTTTAAAAAACTCTTTAAATTAATGTTCTTTATTATTGAAGAGCCAAATCCACTTTCTATAATTAAATGCATTCAAAGTGTTTCAATTTTCAATGTAGAAAAATAATCTAGAGAAAAATTAGTTAAAATAAAATATAGAAAAAAATAATAAATATTGTTTGGAGTAGTAAAATTAAGTTTTAAATATAAAGAGTTTGTTGAAGTACTTCAACATTTTAACTCTAAATTTATAAATGCTCTCCAAATAATAAAATATGATTTTTAAAAATAGAGAATCTCTTGAAAATACTCTAATATGTTAATTTTTATAGACGAACATCAAGTTCTAAATTAGTTAAGACAAATTAGTAAGTAAATATTGAAAGAATGAAAGCTTAGTAGTTTAATCTTACTATTAAAATGTGATTTATTTTGACGTTAAGATAACAACTACTTTCAAAATAAATTACTTTTCCGTTTGGTAGGCTGATAGAGCAAGTCTGATTTGTATGCTGTATTTTGTCAAAGGCAAGAGGCAGAATATATGTGGGGGCAGAAGGTGCCTCTCTAAATTTATATTATGTCGCCGTTTGATTCTCATTCTTTCACCATAAAAATGAAAAATATGATCGTTATTTATCACATCAAACCACCATATTAGACTTTTTATCTTTTGTGTGAGTCCCGTAATGATTATATTTTGTATTCTCATTCTTTAAAAAATGGGAATCAAACGGGGCATATATCAATATTAAATGAAAATAAGTGGAAGATCCATTTAAGACTATAGAAGAATAATGTTACTTATACATAATGGAATTACAATTTACATATAAATGACATGTCAAAAAGAAAGTGAGGAAGTTTTTTCTTTTATTTTATTGAATAAATTTTGATTAAATTATATCTTATCACATCATATATATATATATATATATATCACAATCGCTTATAGACTGTGATCAGGATAAAGCCAAGATCATCATGTCACCAGTTAACCCAGGTTATTGGTCGCATCAATGGGTCAATTCAGATTTTATACACCCTAAATTATTTTTAACTAAAATAAAAGTAACACAAATTGCTTATAAAATAGTAAATTTCACCAAAAAATAAAAAATAAAAAATTAAAAGTTACTAAGCTCTGGTTTGAAATTTTTTTTTTTAAATCATTTTTCTCACATACTCAACCATTGTTTAGTAGTTTTTTATAAAAGTTGATTGAAAAGTTGTGGGTCCAATGAAATATATGATTAAAATTATTTGTTGATTTTGACTTAAATTAAAATTTGAATTTTTATCGATACCAAACAAGGGCTCATTTTGAACTGCACATTTAAAAAAATAAATCATTATTCACATTTTCTTGTAACTTTTTTCTATTTGTAACTTTTTTCTATTTTTTTAACTACATATTCTCCAAAAAAATCACTTCTCAAAAATGCAAATTCATGCAAGGGCTAACTAAAATTTTTGAATGAGACATAATTTTACTACTCAAAGGAATAATCAGTCAACTATGTACTTTACAATCTAATGCTTGTTCGATTTTCTCTGGTCTGTATTTTGTGCTTAAGTTTTAGGGTTTGAGTTATGTACACAGTGAAACTATTTTCAAAATTGAATGGTGTTGACACAAAAAAATGTGCCAACAGGTGTCGGATTCCATTGAAATACACGTAGGTAGGTTGTAACATGCGATCACAAGTTATGAACTGATAATAATCCAAAAGTGTAAATATAAGGGATGTTGTACGTCAATGACCGAACGGATAAGGACTCCGGCCTTCACCTCGTGAAACTATGGCGTTATGACCGCTTATCCCAGAAGAATCAACAAGAAATAAATGGCATGAATGTAGCTGTGCTAATTTTACAAGAACGAAAAACAAGTATTTTGTAGTATCAAGAGTTGCATTATTTTTCCCTTTATTACATTGGGGGAAGGGGTATCTATAGAGTTATAAATGAATAGTGAACTTTGGATGGGGTATACGTGGTCTCATCTCCTTAATTTAAGTATCTAATTATAGGCATCAACTTTGAAATGTTAGCCTATAGTGCACTCAATACTCATGCAGAGCCGCTACTTTTGTTGACAAGACTCGACAATCGTACTCTTGACTAATGTTCCATCAATCATGCCTAGAAGATTTCAGGCACAGATTCAGGATCTCCCTCACGTAGGTTGGCACTAGGTGGGGGGTCTTCATACTTTTACAAGGCTATGTGCCTCAAAACTTCGAGTTTCGACTAGTGGATGAGATAGGTCTCGAAACGTAATTCTTGGTGCTTGTAAGCATGACTTCGTCGAGGCGATTCCAATGCTGTAAGCAGGATGGATATTTCTGCGGCAGAGACCCTAAGCCTCGATAACACGTGTGTGTCATTGTCACATGGATAGCATGGCCCTCGGCTTTGGTGCCACGCATGCCTCCAAGGATCACCATTTCACTTGTAACTCTATAAATACCACCCAATGTAACAAAAGCCGGAATAATGCAACTCTCGATACTACAAAACACT